ACTGATTGACAATGCTTAAACTCTAACTGGATTAAAAACTATTTAAACTACAAACAGTGTTTGTGTTCAGTGTGTGTATACTCTGGGGCCCTTCCACTCTCGTTTGGCTGCCTGGCTTGACTGCTGCTGCATACTCTGCTAGGGGGTTTATCCCCAAACACTAACAGAAGTTTTAGTGGATATTATTGAATGGCAGAATTTAAAAATCTAAAATCCAGCAAGTGCAAAACAAGGCACCGGTTTTATGTCAGATCAACACCCGCCACACCACCCAGCAGTGACAAACATAGAAACTTTGGCAGCGCCACACCTGAGTAATTTGGCTCTGCTCTGTAAAGTATCCAAAATCTCAATCTTTTGATTCAGGCCGGCAAGTTCTTTCTCCAGGTCTTCTCTCGTCACGTCCACCTGCTGGCAAAGCTGAGCGAAGGTTCCCGCCAGTTCCCTTGGACGAGATGTTTTTCAAGTGGAAAAGGAAAAGGGAAAAGAATATTCAAAAAAAGGGGGGGGGAAAGGGGAAAAGACACTTAGTTCAACGAGAGAAAAGCCTCCCCCCACCACACATATAAATCTAATACAGGTAGTCCTCGAGTTACGACCACAATTGAGCCCAAATTGCTGAGTGAAACATTTGTGTGCTCCATTTTACGACTTTTCTTGCCGCAGTTGCTAAGTGAATCATTGCATTTGTTAAGTTAGTAGCCTGATGGTTCAGTGAATCTGAAAATCCCTTTTTTTTGCTTGTTAGGTGGTCGCAAAAGCAGATCACCTGACCCCAGGACACTGTTGTTGGGGTTCGCCGGCAGCCCGTGTAGACGGCAGCGGAATAGGACAGTGGGGAAGAACGGGGACCAGTCCGGGAGTCTAGGGAGGACTCAGATGCGAGTCCTGTGCCTGATGCAGAGATGGGGCCAGGATCATCCGGGAGTTATGTGCTGACTGGAGCCTCCAGAGTCTGGCAGCAGCGAGGCAGAGGAACAAGGGGAGCCTGTTCCCAGTGCGTGTGCACGCAGAGCTGCCAGAAGGCAAGAACAGCTGAGACAAAAGGGGCCACTCGGGAGTAAGGCTGGGAGGGGATTGTCCCTTCCATAAGGTATAAAGGACCGGCAAAGGGAGAGAAATCTTTGCAGGAAGCAAAGTCTTTCGCTCTGTTTGGATTCAACCTTGAAGCTCTGTGCGGACTTTGTACTTCGTTTGGCTTTTTACAGTTCATTTGGCACTCTAGTTGTTGGCAGCAATTCAAAGGAGAGAAAGGTGGGTGCTTATCTCGGGGGACTGTTTGGGACTCATTACGGGCTGGGAATGCACATAATTCCCAGCGCTGAAATAAAACAAGAGTTGTTTGGACTAAGTGTGTGCTTAATTACGGTCCTCAGGAAGCCTCAGTCAGAACACTTTTTTTCAGTGCTGTTGTTAACCTCAAACAGTCACTCAACGAAAGGTCATAAGTCGAGGAACTGCCTGCGTTTTGCAAAACACCCGCCTGGAACTCAGGCTGCATGGGCAGGAGCTGGACCCAGTGGGAGGGAGGGCTTAACTCACTGTTGCACTTGGTGGCTGCAGTTGGAGCCGGTGTAGCTGACGATGAGCTGGAGCTTCTCCCCGGCGTAGTCCACAAACTGGCGCTTAAAGGCTCGCTCTTTCGCCTTCGTGGTCCAGGTGAGGCGCTCGTAGACGTAAAGGAGTCCGTAGAGGCCCAGGGAAAGGGCGATCAGCCTCCAGCCCACCGCCTTCCAGACCTGGGGGGGTTAGGAAGCAAACAGACAGAAAACGGGCTTGAATTCTGGAATGTGCAGAGATGGGTAGGTTAACCCTAAACATTAAAGGAAAAGAAGTGTCAGCCTTCACGATTCCTTCTTCTGCTTGACTCTTTCCAGCTGCCATAGAAACGGGGAGGAGGAATAATTGGGCCTAGTGGCGGGGAAGGGTGCTGGAGGTTGAAGTTGTGTGAATTGTAAAAGTTGAGGTGCTTTTCTTGCTTACTGTGCAAATGCAGCCCCTTATCTTTTCTAGGCCAAGGTCAACCGTCTTGGCATTCCAGATGTCTGAGACGCCACCTGAAGATGTAACCCACATGACATTATGCACACACCTCAGATTGGATGCCCAGTTTGAATTGTTGGGGGTGGGGACACGGGGTAACTTTCTATATGTGATTTCCACGCCTTTTGCTTCAGATCTCCTGTTGCTACCACTTCATATTCACTAAAAGTCCTTTTCTCTATAAAACGGAGTCTTTTAAGGTTTCCTTTCTTGGGTTTTGAATGGAGCCACACCTGACAAGAAGACTCGGACTACTTCATAATATGGGAACTATTTGATAAATGGTTAAATGACAGATACTGAGGTTAGAGGAGTGGAATTAGGTGAAATATGGTTTATAGGAGAAAGAAAAACAGATGAGTAAATATTTCTGATAGTTATGTAATCGATACTATAATGGAAGATAATGTTATAATATTATTGATGTTATATCTGTTTATATATTACTGCATATTTGTTTATATATATGTGTGTGTTTGTATGTGTGATATATATATACACACACACACACACACACACACACACACACACACACACACATACATATACAGCTCCAGAGGAGCACCACTACAAAACCTAGCTAAACACTTAGCAAAGCAGCTACAGCCCCATGCTGAAGCAGCAGCTTCACATGTACAAAACTCATACCACCTCTTGGAAATGATCAAAGATCTACACATGGAACAAGAAGATCTGCTTGTAAGTTTCGACGTGGTTTCATTATTCACTCAAGTCCCGATAAAAGAAACTCTTGAAATCATCAAAAATAAATACCAACCAGCTAAACACCTCATGGAACTAGCAGAACACTGCTTAACCAACACATATTTCATA